GTCAAAGCAACTAGATTTGTGACATAATGTCACATGGTTGTTGGTCAGATGGTGTGATGGTGTGCAGGCATGGTGGTGGTTGCAGCATTGGGTTGCAGGCATGGTGTGTGTGCAGGCATGTCTGGTGGTTGCAGGCATGGTGGTGGTGTGCAGGCATGGTGGTGGTGTGCAGGCATGGTGGTGGTGGTGCAGGCATGGTGTGTTGGTGTCAGCATGGTGGTGGTGTGCAGGCATGGTGTGGTGGTGCAGGCATGGTGGTGTGGTGCAGGCATGTGGTGGTGGTGCAGGCATGGTGGTTGGTGCAGGCATGTGTAGGTGTGTTGCAGCATGGTGGTGGTGGTGCAGGCATGGTGTGGTGGTGCAGGCATGGTGGTGGTGGTGCAGGCATGTGGTGGTTGGTGCAGCATGGTGGTGGTGTGCAGCATGTGTGTGGTGCAGGCATGTGGTGGTGTGCAGGCATGGTGGTGTTTGGTGCAGGCATGGTGGTGGTGGTGCAGGCATGGTGGTGGTGGTGCAGGCATGGTGGTGGTGGTGCAGGCATGTGGTGGTGCAGGCATGGTGGTGGTGGTGCAGGCATGGGTGGTGGTGCAGGCATGGTGGTGGTGCAGGCATGGTGTGGTGGTGCAGGCATGTGGTGGTGGTGCAGGCATGGTGGTGGTTGCAGGCATGGTGGTGGTGGTGCAGGCATGGTGGTGGTGGTGCAGGCATGGTGGTGGTGGTGCAGGCATGTGGTGGTGGTGCAGCATGGTGGTGGTGGTGCAGGCATGGTGGTGGTGGTGCAGGCATGGTGGTGGTGGTGCAGGCATGGTGGTGGTGCAGGCATGGTGGTGGTGGTGCAGGCATGGTGGTGGTGGTGCAGGCATGGTGGTGGTGGTGCAGGCATGGTGGTGGTGGTGCAGGCATGGTGGTGGGGGTGCAGGCATGGTTGGTGGTGGTGCAGGCATGGTGTGGTGGTGGTGCAGGCATGGTGTGGTGGTGCAGGCATGGTGGTGGTGCAGGCAGTGGTGTGGTGCAGGCATGGTGGTGGGCAGGCATGGTGGTGGTGGTGCAGGCATGGTGGTGGTGCAGGCATGGTGGTGGTGGTGCAGGCATGGTGGTGGTGGTGCAGGCATGGTGGTGGTGGTGCAGGCATGGTGGTGGTGGTGCAGGCATGGTGGTGGTGGTGCAGGCATGGTGGTGGTGGTGCAGGCATGGTGGTGGTGGTGCAGGCATGTTGGTGGTGGTGCAGACATGGTGGTGGTGGTGCAGGCATGGTGGTGGTGGTGCAGGCATGGTGGTGGTGGTGCAGGCATGGTGGGTGGTGGTGCAGGCATGGTGGTGGTGGTGCAGGCATGGTGGTGGTGGTGCAGGCATGGTGGTGGTGGTGCAGGCATGGTGGTGGTGGTGCAGGCATGGTGGTGGTGGTGCAGGCATGGTGGTGGTGGTGCAGGCATGGTGGTGGTGGTGCAGGCATGGTGGTGGTGGTGCAGGCATGGTGGTGGTGCAGGCATGGTGGTGGTGGTGCAGGCATGGGTGGGGTGGTGCAGGCATGGTGGTGGTGGTGCAGGCATGGTGGTGGTGGTGCAGGCATGGTGGTGGTGGTGCAGGCATGGTGGTGGTGGTGCAGGCATGGTGGTGGTGGTGCAGGCATGTGGGTGTGGTGCAGGCATGGTGGTGGTGGTGCAGGCATGGTGGTGGTGGTGCAGGCATGGTGGTGGTGCAGGCATGGTGGTGGTGCAGGCATGGTGGTGGTGGTGCAGGCATGGTGGTGGTGGTGCAGGCATGGTGGTGGTGGTGCAGGCATGGTGGTGGTGGTGCAGGCATGTGGTGGTGGTGCAGGCATGGTGGTGGTGGTGCAGGCATGGTGGTGGTGGTGCAGGCATGGGGGTTTGGTGCAGGCATGGTGGTGGTGGTGCAGGCATGGTGGTGGTGGTGCAGGCATGGTGGTTTGGTGGTGCAGGCATGGTGGTGGTGGTGCAGGCATGGTGTGGTGGTGCAGGCATGGTGGTGGTGTGTGCAGGCATGGTGTGGTGGTGCAGGCATGGTGGTGGTGGTGCAGGCATGGTGGTGGTGGTGCAGGCAGTGGTGGGTGCAGGCATGGTGGTGGTGCAGGCATGGTGGTGGTGCAGGCATGGTGGTGGTGGTGCAGGCATGGTGGTGTGGTGCAGGCATGGTGGTGGTGCGGCATGGTGGTGTGCAGGCATGGTGGTGGTGGTGCAGGCATGGTGGTGGTGGTGCAGGCATGGTGGTGGTGCAGGCATGGTGGTGGTGCAGGCATGGTGGTGGTGCAGGCATGGTGGTGGTGCAGGCATGGTGGTGGTGCAGGCATGGTGGTGGTGGTGCAGCATGGTGGTGGCAGATGTTGGTGGTGCAGGCATGGTGGTGGTGCAGGCATGGTGGTGGTGCAGGCATGGTGGTGGTGGTGCAGGCATGGTGGTGGTGCAGGCATGTTGGTGGTGCAGGCATGGTGGTGGTGCAGGCATGGTGGTGGTGCAGGCATGGTGGTGGTGGTGCAGGCATGGTGGTGGTGCAGGCATGGTGGTGGTGCAGGCATGGTGGTGGTGCAGGCATGGTGGTGGTGCAGCATGGTGGTGGTGGTGCAGGCATGGTGGTGGTGCAGGCATGGTGGGGGTGGTTGGCAAGGCATGGTGGTGGTGCAGGCATGGTGGTGGTGCAGGCATGGTGGTGGTGCAGGCATGTGGTGGTGGTGCAGGCATGGTGGTGGTGCAGGCATGGTGGTGGTTGCAGGCATGTGTGGTGTGTGTCAGGCATGGGGTGGTGCAGGCATGGTGGTGGTGCAGGCATGGTGGTGGTGGTGCAGGATGTGGTGGTGCAGGCATGGTGGTGGTGCAGGCAGGGGTGGTGGTGGTGCAGGCATGGTGGTGGTGCAGGCATGTTGGTGGTGCAGGCATGGTGGTGGTGAGCGTCAGGCATGGTGGTGGTGAACGCATGGTGGGGTGGTGTGTGCAGGCATGGTGGTGGCGCAGGCATTGTTGGTGGTGCAGGCATGGTGGTGGTGCAGGCATGGTGGTGGTGCAGGCATGGTGGTGGTGCAGGCATGGTGGTAGTGCAGGCATAGTGGTGGTGCAGGCATGGTGGTGGTGCAGGCATGGTGGTGGTGCAGGCATGGTGGTGGTGCAGGCATGGTGGTGGTGCAGGCATGTGTGGTGGTGCAGGCATGGTGGTGGTGCAGGCATGGTGGTGGTGCAGGCATGGTGGTGGTGCAGGCATGGTGGTGGTGCAGGCATGGTGGTGGTGGTGCAGGCATGGTGGTGGTGCAGGCATGGTGGTGGTGCAGGCATGGTGGGTGGTGCAGGCTGGTGGTGGTGCAGGCATGGTGGTGGTGCAGGCATGGTGGTGGTGCAGGCATGGTGGTGGTGCAGGCATGGTGATGGTGCAGGCATGGTGGTGGTGCAGGCATGGTGGTGGTGCAGGCATGGTGGTGGTGCAGGCATGGTGGTGGTGTGCAGGCATGGTGGTGGTGCAGGCATGGTGGTGGTGGTGCAGGCATGGTGATGGTGCAGGCATGGTGGTGGTGCAGGCATGGTGATGGTGCAGGCATGGTGGTGGTGCAGGCATGTGGTGGTTGCAGGCATGGTGGTGGTGCAGGCATGGTGGTGGTGCAGGCATGGTGGTGGTGCAGGCATGGTGGTGGTGCAGGCATGGTGGTGGTGCAGGCATGGTGGTGGTGCAGGCATGGTGGTGGTTCAGGCATGATGGTGGTGGTGCAGGCATGGTGATGGTGCAGGCATGGTGGTGGTGCAGGCATGGTGGTGGTGCAGGCATGGTGGTGGTACAGGCATGGTGTTGGTGGTGCAGGCATGGTGATGGTGCAGGCATGGTGGTGGTGCAGGCATGGTGGTGGTGCAGGCATGGTGGTGGTGGTGCAGGCATGGTGATGGTGCAGGCATGGTGGTGGTGCAGGCATGGTGGTGGTGCAGGCATGTTGGTGGTGCAGGCATGGTGGTGGTGCAGGCATGGTGGTGGTGCAGGCATGGTGGTGGTGCAGGCATGGTGGTGGCAGGCATGGTGGTGGTGGTGCAGGCATGGTGATGGTTCAGGCATGGTGGTGGTGCAGGCATGGTGGTGGTGGTGCAGGCATGGTGATGGTGCAGGCATGGTGGTGGTGCAGGCATGGTGATGGTACAGGCATGGTGATGGTGCAGGCATGGTGATGGTGCAGGCATGGTGGTGGTGCAGGCATGGTGATGGTGGTGGTGGTGCAGGCATGGTGGTGGTGCAGGCATGGTGGTGGTGGTGGTGGTGGTGGTTCAGGCATGGTGATGGTGGTGGTGCAGGCATGGTGGTGGTGGTGGTGCAGGCATGGTGATGGTGGTGGTGCAGGCATGGTGGTGGTGGTGCAGGCATGGTGATGGTGGTGGTGCAGGCATGGTGATGGTGCAAGCATTGTGGTGGTGGTGCAGGCATGGTGGTGGTGGTGCAGACATGGTGATGGTGGTGGTGCAGGCATGGTGGTGGTGCAGGCATGGTGGTGGTGGTGCATGCATGGTGGTGGTTGTAGTTCAGGCATGGTGGAGGTGGTGCAGGCATTGTGATGGTAGTGGTGCAGGCATAGTGTTGGCTCAGGTGTAGTGGTGCAGGTGTAGTGATGCAGATGTGGTGGTAGCAGGGGTGGGGATGCAGGTATGGTGGTGGCTCAGGTGTGGTGGTGCAGGTATGGTGGTGCAGGTATGGTAATGATGCAGGTGTGGTGGTAGCAGGTGTGGTGGGTGCAGGTATGGTGGTGGTTCAGGTGTTGTGGTGCAGTTGTGGTGGTGAAGGTATGGTAGTGGTTCAGGTGAAGTGGTGCAGGTGTGGTGGTGCAGGTATGGTGGTGGTTCAGGTGTAGTGGTGCAGGTGTGGTGGTGCAGGTATGGTAGTGGTTCAGGTGTAGTGGTGCAGGTGTGGTGGCACAGGTATGGTGGTGGTTCAGGTGTGCTAGTGCAGGTGTGGTGGTGCAGGTGTGGTGGTGCAGGTATGGTGGTGGTGCAGGTGTGGTAGTGCAGGTATGGAACACTAACCTCAGCATCCTCAACTACTATCCAGTGAAGATTTCGGATATGCATGAGAGTTTGCGAGACCCTGGTCATGTCTGCCAGCTGTGACGCACGACGGTACGTCGGTGTGATGACGTACACCGTTGGCCAGGCTGTGGACAGCACCACACTAACATATAAACACATAAAAAATACCACAGTGAAAAAAAATTAACACAGTCCCTCTGAAGATGTACGCATATTCACACGAAAGCACTCGACAGTATCGGGTTTAAAGTCCTCCATTGGGGTATTTTTCATATTGGTAGACACAGGTTTAATAGATTTTCTTCCTAGACACGCATGTGTACATATATATGCATGCCACATCAGACATACATATACATACACACTTATAAGGTTCGTATTCTCGCGGTGTAAAACATAAATCGTCCTGAACATAGACTAGAGGTTGCAAACTTTACTTGGTTTTAAGGCATACTAAACTAAAACTGTTATATATATTAACTAATTATCTTTGGCGAACCTTGAGACAAAAAACGAACAATAACAAACTTTATCATCAAAGAACTTTCCACACGCTATTAAAAGTCTTTAAATCATTCCTAAAAGTAACATTAGCATTCATTTTAATATATGACATTAAGAAATGACATCAATCGATACCACAGAGATGTAACTGGAGTCACTTACGCAGGGTTGCCGAGTCTGTGTGTTGATGGGTGTCCTGGGAGCACAGATTGAGTACAGTGACCTGCTGACCCAGCATCACCACCAGCAGACACACAGCTTCCACCACTACCAGAATCAGTAGTGTACTTCTACTGGGCAGTAGGTGAACCATGTTTTCTTACGCTTGTTTAAACTTTTTGACCAAAAAGACTGTACATGTAAGGTATACAATACCGACAAGATAAAGAATTTGGTATATGTGCAAAATCAAGATGACTATCCACGATCATAGTGCCATATTATTAATGGTACGTAGTAGACATATTGATGAACGAGACACATGTGAAACATTTAGCTTTATTGACAAAACGTATGGCCTGCACAACAGGACACACTGGAGACAGTAGAAATAGTTTTGACGTGATCAATCCGTCAAAACTTCTTTTGCTGTCTCCGTTGTATTGACCAGTACTTGACTGAAGATGCCTGGCGTGCAGGACAAACGTTTTGGTAATAAAGACAGCCAAGTGCTGCATATGCCCTATTCATTAACTTGTCTTGAGAAATGTTACCTTGCTCACTCTAACAGCATGTCAGATCATAAAAACCACTTGCTTCCACTCCTGTCTAACACACTCACACAGGCCTGTTAAATGCCGAAGTTCTTAGTGATAAAAGCCTCCTTTACCCCCTCCCTCCAACCTATCCTAGGACAACCCCTACCCATCCTTCCCTCCACCAGATTTATAAGCCCAAGGAAACAAGAACTGAACAGCATTATCTAAACGAGGCCTTAACAAACATATATAAAATTGATATCTGGAGTTTATCTGGAGAGAGTTCCGGGGGTCAACGCCCCCGCGGCCCGGTCTGTGACCAGGCCTCCTTAGGTCAGTGTCCCAGGATGCGACCCACACCAGTCGACTAACACCCAGGTACCCATTTTACTGATGGGGAACATAGACAACAGGTGGAAAGAAACACGTCCAATGTTTCTACTCTGGCTGGGAATCGAACCCAGGCCCTCACCGTGTGAAGCGAGAGCGTTAACCACCAGGCCACCAGAGCCCAATAATTCTGTCAGCTTTGCTGAGAACACTTAAGCACTGTTGACTTGGATTAAGATTACTGCTAACCAGAAGTTCTGCATTTTCCTCGTTAAGTTCCATACTTATCCATAATTAGAACCTTGCATTTGTTTACTTTAAATAGCATCTACCACTTATCTAACCACAACATTAACTTAATTAAGTCGTCCTTTAGCTTTGTAGTGTACCATCAGAAATGATCTGTCTATTTTAGTATCGTCTGCAAACTTGCTTACTATGGCACTATTTGTTTCCTCACAGGGGATTACCAATAGACTCCTGGCTGTCTTCAAAAAGGCGCTGGACAGGCACCTAAAGTCAGTACCTGACCAGCTGGGCTGTGATTCGTACGTCGGTTTGCAATTGGCCAGCAGTAACAGCCTAGTTGATCAGGTTCTGATCCACCACAAGGCTTGGTCTCAGACCGAGCCGAGGGGGCGTTGACCCCCCGAAGCCCTCTCCAGGTATACTCTTCATCGGGTATATAAATTGTGAACAACAAGCGTGCCAATACTGATCCCAGTGGAACAACACTTGCAGTGGGGCTCCTCATTCTGATTTCTCCCATTTATGAAAACTCTGTTGCCTGAAAGTCAAACATGTCTTGGTAAACAAAAGGTTAAGATTCGTAAGGAGTTTGTGGTGGTGGAGTGATGATGCAGTATAATGCGATCCTTTTCTGACTACGTTTCGCCCACACAGGGGGAGCTTTATCAAGTCAGTGATAAAGCCCAATGTGTGGGCGAAACGAAGTCAATAAAGGATAGCGTTATAATGCATTTATGATTCTTTTTTTCCATCGTGTCGGTATTTACACCATTTTACTCCATCGTCTTCAAGGTGTGGTGCTGGAGGAGCAGCATTGAAGGTCTCCCATTGTAATCGCTCCTCGTACACGTGAATAAAACGTCATTACTCTTTAACAGTATTCTCAACGGTGTATATTCAGAACATCCACTGGCCACTTGACAATGGTCCTGGAAGAAACCAAAACTTCCTTATATTTTCTACTCTGCGAGTTGATTTTTGGATTCACTCGTTTCACGAAGACACAACGAGTCACACAAATACTGGATCACACAAACCAAAACATTGAGAAAAGAAAACTAGGGAAAACCTCGTGAGGTAATAGCGATAAGCAACGTGTCTTTTGTGACGTTCTGGCGACTATGGTGGAGGGCTGTTGAATGATCGTTCAATGGCACTGTTGGTGTAGCCTCTGGTGGAGGCAGTGGTAGCGATGACTGAACGTGTACACCTGCTCCAGCCGCCTCACACCAGGTGTGGTGGGTCATTAAATATTCTTAAATACAGTAATCTCACATTTCTCATTTATGATGTTATGATTTCTCTATATTGAGGCCTGGTCACAGACCGGGCCGCAGGGGCGTTGACCCCCGGAATCCTCTCCAGGTATGCTCCAGGTATTTCTCTGAAGAATTGAGACACTTATGCAACATATGGGAGTCTTTATTGGAGAAACGTTCCGCCACACAGTGGCTTCATCAGTCCAGTACAAAGTAGAAATGGGTAAGGAGAGGAGGAGTTTGAGGTAATCAGTCCCTCATCCTGGAATCGATGTGTTCAGTCCATTACTCTTGTAGGGAGTACAGCATAGGACCAGAGAGATGGCTTATATACTGCTGTCAGGCTGAGGGAACGATTACCTCAATCTCCTCCTCTCCTTACCCATTTCTACTTTGTATTGGACTGATGAAGCCACTGTGTGACGAAACGTTTCTTCAATAAAGACTCCCATACGTTGCATAAGGGTCTCAATTCTTCAACTTGTCGGTTTTCTAAAGCATTCATCACACAGGTGTTTCTCTGTTACAGAGGTCCTCAAGACTTGTTAAGTTATACCATGAATTAAGAAAAAATCCTGGACTTCACCTTACGAAACAAAGTAAATGCAAAGAAAATTATCGATAAGGTAGATCATAGTGGAAAAATGAACATGTTACTGGAAGATGGGGGAACTTTCGTGGCACTTAAGGTAAAGTTAGGCTGGGCTGGGTTAGATCTAGTTAGTTCCGCTGGTTTAGATTGTTCTCTGTGAGCAAAATTTAACCGTCTACATCATGCAGGAATGCTGATAGAAGTTCTAATATACATAAGAGTTTAGATACTTTTGGAAGTGTGAATAGCAAACAGAGATCCATTGAGTGGACGTTGAAATGCAAACAAAAATTAAGTTGTGATTCCTGCGTCACCGTCACAAACCTGCGTCACCGTCACAAGCCTGCGTCACCGTCACAAGCTTGATATTGCATGATCATCGCTACGTACTTAACGTTATTGGTCAAAGTGATACACTGATGGTCATTTTAGTAAATTTTTCTGATACTCGCGAAAACTAAACTGACGTAATATTAGTATAGTGTATAATGTATGTAATATGTATATATATATATATATATATATATATATATATATATATATATATATATATATATATATATATATATATATATATATATATATACACACACACACTCAGCTCAGACACTGAAGTCAGGGGAGTGATCCCCGGTACGGGTGAAATCATTAGGACGTGTTTCCTTAAGACACCTGTTGTCCATGTTCACCTAACAGTAAAACAGATACCTGGGTGTTAGTGGACTGGTGTGGGTCGCATCCTGGGGACAAAATTAACTCAATTTGCCTGAAATGCTCAGCATAACAAGCGGCTTTCTATACAGTAGTATGTCACTGATGTCAGCTAGGCCGATATACCTTGTACTTGTAGAAATAAAAATTATTAAAACCCTTGTATGCTGCTGATGACAATCATGAATGCTGTATGGTTCCTACAGGAGAAGCAGCATCAGCCGATGTAGATTCTCCCATGATCTTTAAGTTCTAGAGTATGTAGCAGTTTACATAGCTAGCCAGCCATCCCTTACTAGCCCGGTTAGATATGTTGAATGTTGAAGACAGAGTAAAACAGAAATTAAATCTAGTTTATAAAACTGCTCACAGTGTCCAGAATATCTTGCTGCCAATTTTGTCAAGGTTGAGAACCAAAGCAATCACAGTACTCAGGACAGAGAGCACAACTTTGGTAAAATAATCTTCAATTCATATAGAGTACTAGTGGTAAAGTAATCTGCCCATCATGTAGAGTATTAGTGGTACAATAATATGCCTTTCATGTAAGGTACTAGTGGTACAATAGTAGTGGAGTTGAGCGCCTCTGGTGGTGAGAGTGGCGGCCTTGAGACAGCTTCCCTCAAGGTGGTGGTGAGGATCTCTTGATCCAAGGAATGTGATCAATGCCACCTGGGAGTGAACTTATCCTCCCAGGTTGTGCATAACCCCCACGGGTTGAGCACTCCATCATGAGCAGTGGTGGTAGTAACGGTGTAGTAGTGACATCTAGTGGTGGTAGTGACGGTGTAGTAGTGACATCTAGTGGTGGTAGTCAGAGCTAATCAGGTTATCAATGATGGTGTTATAGTGAAGGTCAGTACAGTGACCAACCTCAAGGGTACTAAAGGTCAGTTGAAGTTCAAAGGTCGTGCAGAGAAGACGTGTTGCTCCTCCTCCTGCCACCCCCGCCGGCTTTATCGCTTCCTCAGCCTCTTAATACACCTAAATAACGTAAGTATTGTCTGGTGATGTATTTGTCCGTACAACAGCAGAGTTGAGCTGCAGCTCCTGGTCACCAAATTATTAATATTTTAATAGTCTTGATTTAATTTTCTTATGGGTCTAATGTCTAAGGGGGGCGGGGGTGATTGACCTTAGTGGAGGGGTTTTGATACGAGGAACTGGAACTATTCCCCTTCCTCTGATCAAACAATAATACTCTCACTAGGCTATTTTTTTTCCATTATTGAAAAATAACTTGGTCTCTAGATCCAAGGAACTTGCGGCTTGTGATCCAGATATAGACTTCCATGTAGACAAATTATTAGTGATTAGGTTCGTGTGAAAAAAATATTAAAGAAAAAAGATAGCTTTACTTACTATGTTAAACATTAATGGGTATATCAGTCAGGCAGTAATGTTACTAGTTTATATTACATGGTAATGTTTGTTTATAAATGTGTGTAATGTTCATGGTTATAATGCCACTGTGTTTTGTTTCAGGTGTGGTAACTGAGGAGTGCTGTGCCTGGCTGTGTCTGCTGCAACATTGATCAACACAGCAACATTGACCAGTCTGAGGGGTGGAGACAACCACACTAGTAAATGGTCTGGCACATAACATTATATGGAGATGCAGCAGCTGGAGACGTCGTTAGAGGTGGGCAGGGCCCACTTGTAAGGTATATCCAGGTTATAAGTCCACTAAAGTTTGGTTATTGAAGAAGATAGTAATTATATAAGGTGGGAAGGTGGTGAGGAGAGTATAATAATAATTCCTATTTTCAGTAGTGTTGTAGAGGTCCTGGCCAAGTAATTTTATGCTTTGAAGTCCCAAAAATATTTTCAGTAGTATAGCCTTGTGGGTTTAGCGCTTAGGACTCAGTCTGTATTACAGCGTCTGGGGGGGAGCATGTGTTTTAAAATTGGGTTATACAGTATATATTTACAGAGACTTTGTAGACTGATCTTACCTAGACCCCCTTGATCTTGCCTAGACCCCATTGATCTTGCCTAGACCCCCTTGATCTTGCCTAGACCCCATTGATCTTGCCTAGACCCCATTGAACTTGCCTAGACCCCATTGATCTTGCCTAGACCCCATTGATCTTGCCTAGACCCCCTTGATCTTGCCTAGACCCCCTTGATCTTGCCTAGACCCCCTTGATCTTGCCTAGACCCCCTTGATCTTGCCTAGACCCCCTTGATCTTGCCTAGACCCCCTTGATCTTGCCTAGACCCCATTGATCTTGCCTAGACCCCATTGATCTTGCCTAGACCCCTTTGATCTTGCCTAGACCCCCTTGATCTTGCCTAGACCCCTTTGATCTTGCCTAGACCCCTTTGATCTTGCCTAGACCCCTTTGATCTTGCCTAGACCCCATTGATCTTGCCTAGACCCCATTGATCTTGCCTAGACCCCATTGATCTTGCCTAGACCCCATTGATCTTGCCTAGACCCCATTGATCTTGCCTAGACCCCATTGATCTTGCCTAGACCCATTGATCTTGCCTAGACCCCATTGATCTTGCCTAGACCCCATTGATCTTGCCTAGACCCCATTGATCTTGCCTAGACCCCCCTTGATCTTGCCTAGACCCCCCTTGATCTTGCCTAGGCCCCGCTTTGTTGCCTAGGCCCCGCTTTGTTGCCTAGGCCCCGCTTTGTTGCCTAGGCCCCCTTTGTTGCCTAGGCCCCCCTTTGTTGCCTAGGCCCCCTTGATCTTGCCTAGGCCCCCTTGATCTTGCCTAGGCCCCCCTTGATCTTGCCTAGGCCCCCCTTGATCTTGCCTAGGCCCCCCTTGATCTTGCCTAGGCCCCCCTTGATCTTGCCTAGGCCCCCCTTGATCTTGCCTAGGCCCCCCTTGATCTTGCCTAGGCCCCCTTGATCTTGCCTAGGCCCCCCTTGATCTCTCCTAGACCCCCTTGATCTCGCCTAGACCCCCTTGATCTCGCCTAGACCCCCCTTGATCTCGCCTAGACCCCCTTGATCCTACCGAGACCCCCTTGATCTTACCTAGACCCCCCTTCATCCCCCCCTTGCGCCGCCACTGCTCTGCAAATTTGTAAGGCCTATACCCGGAGTATGCTGCTTAGTTGTGATATATAATTATATAACACTTTGTAGGTCTACAATTATTTAGTTTCTGCTATCAAAATAAATTATGGAATTAGGTGGCGTTAAGTAGGATAGGTAAGGTATAGAACTGGAGAATCTGCTATATGCATTATGAATGCATATAGCAGGGGAGAGTAATCTCCCCTGAAGGCATAGATTACGTAGAACTGTAGGCCTGGGAACCCACCAACGACCTTCAGTAGCTGTCTGCAGTCTATTATTGCAAGTGGTTTCCGTGGGGATGTTGGTGGGTTTCGGGCTTTGGGTAGCGGTTGTGGTGGGTGTTCTACGTTTTTTATGCCTTTGGCCAAACTGTGCAAAGTTAAATAGTGATTAAGTTTACACAATTTCATCATTTTGGAAAATTTAAGCGACGTTCAGGGTTCTATAAATATAAAGGTATCGTTCAGAATTAGTTGGTTTGATAGTAGTGAATTATTATAATCAAAAAGAAGCGCTAAGCCACAAGGGCTATGCAGCGCTGCTGTTAGTAGTGAAGTCTTGCGCTTCTGGCAGCGTATGTTAATGATGAAAATAATGAAAACCTCTGTAATCTGAAGTGTTAGTCGCAGAAAGGATTCACTAACATCTGATGCTGATGAGTATAGTTAGGGGGGTGATTTAGACTGGTATTAGTGAGAATAGGATTATTAACCCTGCTGGGTTAGAAACTCGGCAGGTAAGGTAGGTTGAATACAGGATACCATAGTAGTTTGTTACGAGACTGGTATACAGCAGGCCTCCAGCTGGTTAGATAACCCGTAGTGTTAGTTGTTAGCCTAGTGTGCTATGAGGGACATGGAAGTGTAGGGAAAATACAATGTCTTAATGATCCTAAATACTATCATGTTAAATTTGGATACCTTCACTAGTACAAAGACGCCCTTCAAGGGGTATCTTGATATAAGCAGTTGCAAGCAGGGCCGGATTAAGAAGTCTCCGGGCCCTAGGCTATTCAGATTGGCGGGGCCCCTTTGAGTTACGGGTAAGTGAAGAGACCCCTTCCAGCTTGGGGGGGGGGGGGTCGGTGTGAGCCTGTTTAAGGTCTAAATACATTCTGGCTATTTAGATTAAATTTAATAGGGAAAGTACATCAAGAAAACCAAAACCATTTACCAACAGCCATTATAACTATCTTGTTAAATCATACATTTTAAAGAGAATAAACTCAAGACAGCATAGTATTACTAGATTAGGCTATTAAAGTAGTGACATCATTTACCTATTATATTCAGCATAACCACTATTATTCCCTTTATAAATCACTGACCATTATTGTTATCATTGCATCATGCATAAGACTATCAAATCATATAAACTACAGAAAATTGGAGAGGAGTCTCCCATACTCGCCCATTAGCGGGAAAATACAGCTGTTCTGATGTAAACAAAGGTGTGTTGAGTGTGGCCATCTATGGTTAGGTTTATTTATTTTTATTTTATTTTTGTTTTGATTGATTTTTAAAAATTAATTTTACTCTCCAAACACGAACTTTAGGTAGGGACCCCTTTGCACTTGCACCATGTGCGCAGTCTTAGATGAGCCCCTGAACCCCTTGGACTGCGGGGCCCCCAAATGCGCGGGGCCCTAGGCAAATGCCTAGAGGGTACTTGTAACTTGCAAGTACCCTCTCCTTCCTTGGATCAAACCTGATTGCCTAACATTCCCCAAGCTGTGTATAACCCCTTGAATAATTGACCCAAATCTATATTATCCAAGGGGTTATACACAGCTTGGGGAATGTTATGCAATCAGGTTTGAATCAGAGTAGTGCAAGTTGTTTATCTTTTCCAGTTAGGCGTCTATATTTAAGGGATATTAGGAGTAGGTTTTTCTAGGTTGTAATGTATGCTACGGTGTTTACCCTCCAACTTTATAATTGCAGCAGAATCCTCCTGACAAGATTACCTTGTCTTCTGTGGTAAAGTCTTCCGCGTGTACGTGTTTCCACTAGCTTCCTGACAAAACACCAGGTCATAAAATTTAAAAATGTATCATACCTCAAACTACTACCAATGGCAGTATTGAGGCTGTCCGCCTCATTATTACTATTGTTAGTAGGGTTGGGGTAGGTATATTTTTTTTTTTCCCTGAGCTTATAGCTCCCGAATTGTGTGAATGTTGTCCTGCTGCCCAATACAGCAGTTGAGGCTTGTCTCAAAGTTATTGCGTTTTTCTGTTTGTGTTCTTTGAACACCTTTACTGTGATAAAAAATGTCCAAGGAAAACACAAGGACAATTTATTTTACATTTTAATTAATCCTCTTTAATAAAGTTCATCAAATCTTGTAGGTTGGAGATTGTTGTGGGCAGCTGCTGTGTGGTGAAGTTCATGTTGTGGGTAGCTGCTGTGTGGTGAAGTTCGTGTTGTGGGCAGCTGCTGTGTGGTGAAGTTCGTGTTGTGGGCAGCTGCTGTGTGGTGAAGTCCATGTTGTGGGCAGCTGCTGTGTGGTGAAGTTCGTGTTGTGGGCAGCTGCTGTGTGGTGAAGTTCGTGTTGTGGGCAGCTGCTGTGTGGTGAAGTCCATGTTGTGGGCAGCTGCTGTGTGGTGAAGTCCATGTTGTGGGCAGCTGCAGGTCTTCAGAGATGTCATCACTACCAGCAACACGCCAAAACAATGTCTGCAAAGGTAAAAGTATGGACATTACTAGATTATTCATGAACTGCAGTAAGCAATAATTTGAAGTCTTTCGATGTATTTAGAATTCTTCCTTCATGTTAAGAAAGAAAAATTCTTAAAATATTTTCAAAGCTGATCTACACAAAAATTACCATGAAATTGGAGCAATCCAATTTTTTTTTTATATTACCACAGGTTGATGGAACTGGATGAGCTGGAGGTGTTGGTGTGGTGGATGGCAGAGGAGTGACTAGTGGCGCCACTGTTCTTGACCTCCATGGCTAAATGGCGCCATTGACCTGGAGGAGGGTGGGGTGATGACGTCAGTGGTTGTTTGTGGTAAGGGGGAAGGTCGTTAGGGGAAGGGTCGGGGGTTGGCTGCTGGTGTAGGGGTCTGGGGGGGGTGTCAGTTGTTACTGGTGGGAGGGTGATGGAGGTTAGGGGATTGTCACTTGGTAATTACTAAGGGATTAACCAGTCTTGTTACTGTGTGTTAACGCGGCTACAACCTTGATATTTGAAACGCCCAAAGACACTCGTTTGCCACACATTCGTAATTTGATGAACAATGTCCATGGACTCGTGTTGAAAACCGTCTCCTTGATGTTGGACTTAACGTATTTGACATCTCTTGTGGGTGTAGTGCTTAGTTTTGATAGTGGTAAGCAACAGCATCGTGGCTTCCTTTGCAGATGACACCAGAATTTGCTTGACAGTGTCCTCCATTGAGGACACTGCGAGACTCCAGCAGACATCAACCAAATCTTTAAATGGGCCACAGAAAATATGAAATTCACTGATGAGAAATTTCAGCTGCTCAGATATGGAAAATGTGGGGAAATTAAAGCTATATTACCTGGAGTTTACCTGGAGAGAGTTCCGGGGGTCAACGCCCCCGCGGCCCGGTCTGTGACCAGGCCTCCTGGTGGATCAGAGCCTGATCAACCAGACTGTTACTGCTAGCTGCATGCAAACCAACGTACGAGCCACAGCCCGGCTGGTCAGGAACCAACTTTAGGTGCTTGTCAGTATCAGTATCAAACAAATTCCAACCACATAATAGAACGAAAAACTAATGTAAAAGACCTGGAAGTGATAATGTCAGAGGATCTCACCTTCAAAACCTACAACATTGTATCAATTGCATCTGCTAGAAAAATGACAGGATGGATAATGAGAACCTTCAAAACTAGGGATGCCAAGCCCACGATGACACTCTTCAGGTATCTTGTTCTATCTAGACTGAATATTGCTACACACTAACAGCACCTTTCAAGGCAGATGAAATTACTGATCTGGAGAGTACAGAGAACCTTCACGGCACACACAACTGTGATAAAGCACTTCAATTACTGGGAACGCTTGAAGTGCCTCGACCTGTACTCCCTAGAATGCAGGCGGGAGAAATACATGATTATATACACTTGGAAAATCCTAGAGGGATTAATACCAAACTTGCACACGAAAATCACTATGAAAGCGCACCCGAAAATCACTATGAAAGCAAACTTCTTCAAGGGGGGGGGGGTCCTTAGTGTGGTGAAGAGGCTCTTGGCCTGAGGAATTAGACCTTTTGGTCTTCCTCAGACTGAACCTAATTACTCCCCAATCCCCCCCTCCCCATGATGGGGAGGGGGGATGGGGACCCCATCCCCCCTTTCCCTTCCATCCTCCCCTCCACATCCTCCCCTATCCTCTTCCTGTTTTCAGCCTTTGGGATTCTTACAGGCATTCTGGTTCCTAGGTAGGGGGAAGGGTACTGTGGTCCATCCCATTCTGTTGAGGTCCTTGGCGGTGGTGTAGTTTGCCGTGGAATCTGGATCATCTGGGGATGTCCTGATCCCTCTCTGGTCTCCACGGGGGGGGGGCTTTGGGTGCCTTTCGGGTGACGGGTGTATCTCTGGAGGTTACCTTTCGGATTCCCGGGGGGGGGGGGGAGGGAAGGTGGCGAAAGGAAGTATGCTTTGTGGCAGGTGCCCGGCCGCCCTCTCTTGTTCACCAAGGCTCGGCGGATGTGAGGTTGCTATCCCAGATTGCTGGTTTACTGGCATGAAGGGTAGGATATGGCATGTGTTCCAGGCTGCATCTGCACTACTTGTGGTGCTGGTGTCCTCTTGGGTGCGGAGGGGGATTTACGGCCCTTTCTTTCCTCCTTAGAGCTATTCCTCCATGTTCTTCCCGTCTTTTTTTTTCTTTTTTTTTCTAAAAAAAACAAAAAACAAAAAGAAAAGTGACATAATAGTGGAGTCCCCAATCCATGAACCTACTCCCCCCCCCCCCTGGGCCCCTTCCTGATACCGCACCCTGTTCTGATCCTGCCTCGCCACTTGACCACTCTTCGGACATTTCTCATGCCCCTGTGCCTCTTGCTGGTGCCGTTCCATCACCCACTCCAGGTACCGGGGTTCCGCCTCACTCCTTTGATACATCTGACCCGCACTTTTTTCCATGCTTCTGGCTTCTCCCTCTACGGTGCGGCGTGACTGGACTGACTCTGGTCCCACACCTAAATGCCCAAGACCATTACCTGATGATTCTTATCGCTTCCTTCTCATTCTACTAGGAAAAGGGTGGCATGTCACAATACCGTGACAGGAACAATACACGAATAACTGGCATGTAGGAGAGAGGAGCTTATGACTAGGTTCAGTCCAACTTGGACCATTTACAAAGTCACACTGTAACTTCGTAAATGGTCCAAGTCTGACCGAAGTATTGTCGTAAGCTCCTCTCTTACATGCCGGTTATTTGTGTATACACAATGGACTAGTTTTTTTTTTTTTTTACTCTGCGACAGACTTCTACTGCCTATCTTTCTGATCATAGCATTGGCAAGGCACTCCTTTTCCATGTTGGTAAAGACGTATCCTTTCATGCTCTCAATAGCGATACGTGCATTGTCGCAGTCCAGGATGCTAGCCAAGCTCACGATCTTTCTCTCCTTACAACCATAGATGCTATTCCTGTAACTGTGGAAAAACATCATTTTCTCAATTCAATTCTTGTAATGGTACTGTCATTCTACCCCATACCATTGTCCAACAGAATTTCCAGACAGGTGGTGATGACCTCCCTATCTTCAAAGTAGACACTTATGTCCTCCCTGTCTGCAGGTGGAGACGATTCCCTTGCAATGTAGCTCACTTAACTTTTGTCTACTGTGAGCCTCCGTCCTTGGTTTATATTACAGGACACTGTTTACAAGTTTGAAAGGTGATCCCTACACTGCAACAGTGTTGGTCATCCAGCGAAATATATTGTAGGTCCATGGCCGAATACCCAGTCTGTGGTGCCGACAACCATACTAATACATCTTGTAGTCTACCTCCCTCTTGTCGTAATTGTCATGAGGCTCGCTCATCTTACTCTCGCCATAGCCAAGTTTACTTAAATGAGCGAGAAATCCGTTCTCAAAGAGGCAGAAGGCTTTCCTTATGCTATGGCAGTCTCATCTATGTCTCCATGGGAGATTTCCACACATTCCTTATTCTTGCATTGCTAAACGTAACCCCACCTCTGGGGTCCCAGCTTATGCAGCTTCCTTTGTGGTTACCCGTCTAATTCTTTTATTGTCCTGTACTCGGAGATCCCTGCCTCTACACCTCATTCTGTTCTTGCCTCTTCCTCTTCTCACTCTCAAGTTTGTGTCTACAGGACCTTGTACAACACCTCCCCATCGCCCCTCTACTTCTCTGAAGTTCAAAAAATCCCAGTTGTTAAAATCTCCTTTAACCCTTCCTTCCCTTATTCAACCTGCACATCTTTCCTTTCCAGTCTGTACCTGGTTCATCACCTCTAACTGGCTCTATTACGAGTGTGGAGGTTCATCCTCCTTGTACAGTACCTTCTTCCCCTGTCCCCTCCCAAGTTTCTCCAGTTCCCTCTATCCTTTCATTCCCCCCTACTTTGGTGCAGTCCATCGTCACCCTGATCTTTACTTGCCCTCCTCCTTCCCTCTCCAGTATTGTCCCACATACTATGTCCTTGTCCTCTGAAACACTTGAAGCTATCTCAGTGTATATTGAGGAGACTAGACCATTAATGGACACCGATCCTCCTGTTCCTCCTCTTCATTCTTCTCAGTCTGCACAACTCCTTTCTTCGAAGTGTCCCAATCCTTCACTGCTTGAACGTTTTCTGCTGCCTCTGCATGTGGACTTTTCTAGCCCTTCTAGTCTGTACATACCTCTGCCTTCAGAGTTCTTGTATCTTTCTCTTCACAAATCATGGCTTATTTGCAGTGTTTATTTACAATAATCCAAATTACACTCTACTGTTACCCATACCATCTCGGGATATGATTTGTTATATTCATCAGACCCTTTTCTGATGGAACCTTTAATGAAAGTGCACTTCTTACACGCACCGGTATTCCATACCATCAGCTTTTTTTTCTTACTTTGCTGGATTACACTTCAGCCTGTTTCCACTTAAATAAGTGGTATACAATCTGTACTTTGTACCTCTCTCCTCCTCAGGCATTATCTATCCCAGATGCTACATTCTTGGTTTCTTCCTTACCACCACCACCACTTCTGTTACTTGGCTATTTTAATGCCCACCATTGTCTCTGGGGAAGAGGGTCTCACTGTGACTCCTACGGCATTCAGTTACAGGCCTTTCTCACTTCTCCCCATCCACGTTTTAAATACGGGTACTCCCCTCCATATTTGTCCTCGTACTCTTTCTCTCTCTCTTGCATCGATCTTTCGGTTTGCTCTTCCTCAAATGTGCTCGACTTCACCTGGTCTGTCCTCCCGGACTTGCATGACGGCAATTATTTTCCAATCATCCTTACTTCTTCATATTCACCACCATCTCATAGCCCACACTGGCAATTTGACCCAGCGAATTGGGACCTTTATTTGCGTCTAACTGCTTTTAGTGAGGATCCTTCATTGATGAGCTTTTACACCTCTTGTCGACAGTTCTAACCACAGTTTCACATTCTATACCCCAAACCTCGGGCAGGCATTCTCAAAAGCACATGCCTTGGTTGTCTCCTGCAGACACATTCATCACCTTCAAAACTACCGTTAGAAAACATCTTATCTCCCTGATACACCCCGTCAACTAACTACATAAAAACCACCTGGTGGTTCACATTTACACTCACTCACTCGCTCATTTGACTATAAGCACAGAAATACGTATCTTAATCTTAAAATAATGATTCCTAACTAGTCACAAGTTTGCCTGTGATACTCCAATATTCAAAGTTTATTCTCTATAAGGATTACAATGCTGAGTTTACAGAATTTGGTTATTGTGTGGTTTACAGGTAGTAAAATAATGATTACCGAGTGTACCACTAGAACAAACAAAAGCATTCACATTGC